GCTTTGCTTGGCCGAAAGTGGTGAACTGCCGAATTTGGTTTTCTCCGTCTCCGATGAGAAAACATTCGTTGTCCAGCTGTTTGTAAACAAACAAAATGATCGTGTTTACTTGCCAAAGAGGTCAGCTGAAAATGTGCACCTTTGGTTGGCCACCAGTACTCAAGCGCCGGCCATGGTGATTGTGTGGTCCGCCATAGCAGCCGATGGTCGCTCTCCGCTTGTATTAATCGACCGTGGCATCAAATTAAATGCCGAATATTATCGCGAAAATATTCTGGAGGGTGTATTAAAGCCTTGAGTACGCAAACATTTTGGCCGCAGACCTTGGACATTCCAACAGGACTCATCATCCATCACCATCGCACTCAGCACGCGCCACCCAAGAATGGTTACAAAATGAGGTTCCTCGCTTCATTTCCAGCGCACAATGCCCACCAAAATCTCCGAATACCAATCCGTTGGACTATTGTGTCTGAGTATTTTGGAAATCAAGGTTAGCACTAAAAATACCAAAGTGTCGATCACCTCAAGCAAGCGCTTTGACGGGAATGGGCCAAAATAGCACAGAGCAACTTTCGGGCAGCGTGTGACGGTTTCATTGGCCGTTTGAAGGCCGCAATTCGTGCCGAAGGTGACCAATTCGAACAAATCTTAAGTTAATATAAAATTTGATGATATTTCCGACATTTTTTGCTTTAATTCAAAAAAAATTAAAAATTATGGCGTTTGACTTTGTTGCAGTTTTTTTATACCCTCCACCTTGGAAAGGAGGGTATATTAACTTTGTCATTCCGTTTTTAACATCCTTAAATATTCGTCTTAGACCCCATAAAGTATATATACTCATAATCAGCATAAAATTCTAAGTCGATTTAACGATGTCCGTCTGTCTGTCTGTCTGTCTGTCTGTCTGTCTGTCCGTCTGTTTGTTGAAATCACGATACAGCCCACATTATTTGACGTAGAGCGCCAAAATTTAGCAGAGCAATTTGCATTGTGTCTAGGATGGTTGGTATTGAAAATAAGATACATCGGTCCACGTTCTGGTATAGTCCCCATATAACGGTACCTCCCGATATTCGGTATTTTGATGATTTACGGATTTTTTTTACGGATTTGTCTGAAAATTGGTATTTATAAGTCATAACGGGTCCCTGAGCGTGTGGCAAAACATTGCATGTATAGGTCCACGTTGTGGTATAGCCCCCATATAAAGGTACCTCCCGATATTCGGTATTTTAGTTTTTTTTGCCACATTTTTTCACGGATTTGTCTAAAAATCGGTATTTGTGTGTCATAATGGTTTCCAGCTCCGGTGACGAAACATTGCATGTATGGGTCCATGATTTGGTATAGCCCCCATATAACGGTACCTCCCGATAATCGGTAATTTTATGATTTTTGCCACATTTTTTCACGGATTTGTCTAAAAATTGGCATTTGTGGGTCATAATGGTTTCCAGCTCCGGTGGCGAAACATTGCATGTATGGGTCCATGATTTGGTATAGCCCCCATATAACGGTACCTCCCGATATTCGGTATTTTGATGGTTTTTGCCACATTTTTCCACTGAATTGTCCAAAATTAGTATTTGTGGGTCATAATGGGCCCTAGTTCGTATGGCGATACATGGTAATTATAGGTCCACGTTTTGGGGTAGCCCCCATATAACGGTACCTCCCGATAATCGGTAATTTTATGATTTTTGCCACATTTGTTCACGGATTTGTCTGAAAATTGGTATTTGTTGGTCGTAATGGCTTCCAGCTGCGGTGGCGAAACATTGCATGTATGGGTCCATGATTTGGTATAGCCCCCATATAACGGTACCTCCCGATAATCTGTAATTTGATGATTTTTGCCACATTTTTTCACGGATTTGTCTGAAAATTGGTATTTGTTGGTCATAATGGTAGTCACATTTCTTCTAATGCTTCTTTTATCCTAAGGTGGAGGATATTAAAAGTTTGGCCCGGCCGAACTTAATGTTTTTTTACTTGTTTTTATCTCACTCAGTATATTCATCATCAGCTTAAATTCTAAGTTGATTCGATTTTTTAAGATTTTGATTATAATACCCAAACAAATCATCTGCAATATATATAGCCACAATTTGATATAGAACCTCCCGATATTTGGTATGTGATGAAGTCCCAATTTTTAACGGATTTGTTTAAAATTTAGTATTTAGAATTGGTAATGAGTTTTCTATCTCCTGTGGCAGAACATTATCGACATTTTTTTATAGCCCTTAAAAGGGGGTATTTCATTATTTTGATGACTTTAGTCATATTATTCAGTAGACTTCAGTATTTTTAAATCGGAATAGTTAGCAAACATTCTAACTGGAGCTGAACTATGTAGGTTCAGTACCGCCTACTTTATAGTATTTTGAAGACTTTAACTGCATTCTCAAACCGATTTCATTGGCTGTTTTAAATGTTTTTTTTTACATCATGATATATTAAACATTTAGCCCGGAACTTAACGATTTAACTTGTTTTTTGATATGGACTGACTGGATTTTCTATCCACGAAGAAACAAAAAATATTAAGATTTCAAATTGCAAATTGAAATTAAATAGAGAACATGACCAAAATGTAAACAGTAAGGAAAAGTCAAAAGTCGGGCGGGGCCGACTATATGATACCGTACACCACTATGCATATTTAATAGAGCCTGCGTAACAAAAGATATTATTTGAAGTAGATCATACCACCTATCAACATTTGGATTAAGAGCAGTTATAATTTGATTTCAGAGGTAAATATTATATGGGAGGCATATCCAATTCTGAATCGGATTTCACTAAATTTGAAGGAGACATTTTTATCTTTTTTACCAAATAACATTGCTATAAAGTGTATGATATCACTTTGAGAAGAAATATATTAAAAATATATATCGGAGCCGAGTTCCACCAAAAGAAAACGTACTTCCCGAAGTGCCCTCCATTTGGACTGATATTTGCATAATTATTTGCATAATAAACCTGAAATCGGATTAAGGATATATATGGCAGCCATATCCAAATCTTAGCCGATCTCGATAAAACTTGGCAAAGATATTTCCGAGCTCTATAAAATATTTGGTACCAAATATCATTCTTGTGGAGTGAATATTACGAATGTGAGGAACTTTAAACTCCAAATCGGATGGTACACATATAGGGGAGCTAAAGGTATATCTGAACCGATTTTTACCAAATTTGATGTACTTGCTTCTACATTGAATTTGGTCGGTTGGTACACAATTAACCCAAAATCGGTTGAAGATATATATGGGAGCTATATCCAAATCTGAACCGATCGTGATATAATTTGGCAGAGGTATTTCTGGGCTGCATCTAATATTTGCTACCAATTATCATTCTTGTGGGGGGCATATTACAAATGTGAGTGATTTTAACACCAAATCGGGTGAAACATATATATATATATATATATATATATATATATATATATATATATATATATATATATATATATATATATATATATATATATATATATATATATATGGGAGCTTTAGTTATATCTGAACTGATTTTCACCAAATTTGTTGTACTTTCTTCTACACTGAATTTGGTCGGATATGCCAAAATTCTGGTTTATATAGGATGAATTAAGTAGTAATTACAAAAAATCAGTGCATTTGGACTGATATTAGCCATTTGGTGCACAAAAACAAAAAATAAAAATATATATGGCCTTTTTCCTAATCTGAACCGATCTCGATAAAATTTTCAGAGGTATTTTCTACATCTATATCTAAACCGATATTTTCCAAATTTGGTTTATTTTTTCTCGATGGAATTCGATGCGATATACTAAAATACAGGTCATTTGGGCTTATATTAGCCATTTGGTGCACAATTAACCCAAAATCGGTTGAAGATATATGGTAGCTATATCTGAATCTGATCCGATTATCACCAATCTCAATAGGGTTCGTCCTTGTGCCAAACGAATATTGTTTGCAAAATTTGTTCACCTGCATTTTGTTCACAAGAATGCATGGACGGACGGACTGACATGCATAAATCGACTCAGAATGTGATTCTATGAAGATCCTCAAAAGTAACTATGAGTGGTGGTGGTGTAGGTATAAAAAATAATGATGGAATATTATAGCTTGATATGTTAATAAATATTTGTTGTATTCAGGTTTTTGATTTTCTCAGTTAGGGACCAAAATGCACTGTGGGACATCAACAGTGACCCGGGGTATCCAGCTGGTTTTTGTCGAAATAATTTATAATTCTCACACAAAACATAAAATTTCAAGATCGGGTATTTAATAATATTAGTAGTGTTCGTTTACTTCATAATTTGTACGAATTTGTAGAAGAAGAAGGTGTTCGCTCACTCTTTGCAATTTTTTCTCTCGACAGAGAAGAAATCTTATTTATTTTTCAGTAACTTCTTACTGAGTAAATGTTACTGGGAAAGTAAACGAACGAACCTATTGTCATACATTGTGAATTCTAAACGGGAACTAATATTGAGAATTTTCGATCTGTCAACTTATTTGCACACCTTGTTGGACATCAAATTTAAGAATTTTTGTAAAAATTTGTTTTATACAACAAAAAAAAAAAAAAAAAAAAAAAAAAAATTAATACAAATTTGTGTTGTTGAGAATTCGTTACTGTTTTAACATGTAAGGCATCAAAGATTTTAAAATTTTCTTCAAAATTAGTTTATTGCCTAATTATTATCAGAAGGGATCTAAGCGATGTAATCTTTATATAATTTCAACAAACTTATTGGTATTTATCATTTTCAATATTAAAATAAAGCTCAAAACCATTGGTGGTCTGGGAAACAAAAAACACTAACTAACTAACTAATGATGTAATGGGACAGATCCCATAAACATGTCATCAAACAAAAGACTTAAGAAACAAACTTCATTCAAACGGCTGAGAAGACACACAAATGTTGATATTTTTTTCAATTGATGTTGACGGTTTTAAAGATTTCAGAATTTACTTACAATTAATATTTTGGAGATTTTGAAACGTTTATCCATATTTATATATTCCATGATTGCTGTTTTTGTTGTTCTTTTAGTGTTAACAGAGGTGGTGATAATGATGCTGGTTTTGAATGAATTCAAATGTCTGGCACACACAAATTACAGAACATCAAGCTGGGTTGTCATATGGTGTCGAAAGACATAAATTTGTCGTTATTGTTGTTCGTGCCACAGGGCAAGATTAGAAGTATAGCTATTTATTCTTTTTTCTTTTGCTGCGATTTGATTAATGAAAACGAAGGTGTTTTCTGGTTCACCAATTGCCTATTTTTTTGATTTGTTTTGTGGTTAGATTCAGCTTTGTTTCGTTATGTGTTAATTATTCTGTAATTCATGATGGCTTAATTAACGCCCAGAATTTGATATGCACTCTCGCAGTGACTGGGACAAAGAAAGCCCCTGCAGCACTTTGGGGGTCGGACTAATTGTAATTCGCTTTTATTTTTTTTCTTTTCTTTTTCAAATCACAACACAATACTAATTTCTTTCTCCTGCTTTTTGTCGCCTGAAAGCGGGTTTATTAATTTTCACTGCACGTCTAGGCACGATGTGAACTGAAGCGAACACCAGCAAATAAAAAAAAAACAAACGAAAACTTTTACAAAACATCAACAATTTTTATTTCACTTCACTTCAATTTTTTTGATTCAATATTTTGTCACTGAAAATTCAAAAACTTTCACAAAAAAAGCAAAAGCTTACTAGCAACAAATTTCAATATTTCTTATTTTTCCCCCTTCCTTTCGAATCGTAGGGTTGATTGATTTGGAAAATCGTTTTTATTAGATATTTCCTTTTTGTGACAAAAGAAAAACACAATTTGTTTTCCGCAATTCAAAAAACGAACGATGGGTTCGATTTCCTTCTTCTTGTTTGGATGTATTTTTTTTTTTTTCAAATCGTATTTCAATCCGAAAATTTACGTTCACACGCTTTGCACTCACGATTGCAACTGTTTTGTTTGGCCGTTTTTTTTGTTGGCTGGCTGGATGGCGGTTTGGTCTGGCCTGGTCTGTGACACACAGACACAGAGTTCCAGTCACAGTTACCATCGTTGCGCGCTATCGTTCGCTCGCTCGTCGTTAGTTCGTTTGTATGTTCGTTCATTATAAACAAACACCCAACCGCCGCCGAGCCAACGAAGACCATCATTCCGTAACTATTGAGCCATCGACTTACTACTCTTTATTTATGTTGTTGTTTGTTTTTTCTTCTCCATCTTTACAATTACACTATGAACAAATCCCACGACAACAATAACAGAGATACAATATTAGCGGAGTTGCCAGATTGTAAATGGTCGAAATATACCATGGTCGAAATTATGAGTTTGAGTAAAAATCATTGGTAATTTTTTATGTGTTTTGAGAGACTATAAAGGTAAGGGTACATAAGCAGCTTGGCATCATGGTTAGGCATATTAATGCCAAATTATAAAGGGAAACTACGGCTAGAACCCATTCTAACCCACAAATACCAATATTTAGACAGATCCGCGAAAAAATGTTGCAAAAAATTATCAAAAAACCGAATATTGGAAGGTACCGTTATGTGGCGGCTATATCAAAACTATCCTAGATACAATGCAAATTGTGCTGCCAAATTTTGAAGCTCTATCTCACTTTTTCAAGGTGGAAGGGTATAAAAATTAAAAAGATGTGAGAGAAAAGAAGTTAAGTAATTGCACCCAGGAAGCTCCTCCATCTTTCCATCCGGTCTCTTTTGAAGGTCCCAACCCTGCCGGCTTCAATTAACAGGTTGAACCCGCTTCCTGGGTCGTCTTCTTCTTTCAGAGACCAATCATATCATTTTTATCTGACAATTTCATCTTACGGACGGACATTGGGTAGCTTATCGTTCTGCCACATGTTACTGGGAAAGTAAACGAACGAACCTATTGTCATACATTGTGAATTCTAAACGGGAACTAATATTGAGAATTTTCGATCTGTCAACTTATTTGCACACCTTGTTGGACATCAAATTTAAGAATTTTTGTAAAAATTTGTTTTATACAACAAAAAAAAAAAAAAAAAAAAAAAAAAATTAATACAAATTTGTGTTGTTGAGAATTCGTTACTGTTTTAACATGTAAGGCATCAAAGATTTTAAAATTTTCTTCAAAATTAGTTTATTGCCTAATTATTATCAGAAGGGATCTAAGCGATGTAATCTTTATATAATTTCAACAAACTTATTGGTATTTATCATTTTCAATATTAAAATAAAGCTCAAAACCATTGGTGGTCTGGGAAACAAAAAACACTAACTAACTAACTAATGATGTAATGGGACAGATCCCATAAACATGTCATCAAACAAAAGACTTAAGAAACAAACTTCATTCAAACGGCTGAGAAGACACACAAATGTTGATATTTTTTTCAATTGATGTTGACGGTTTTAAAGATTTCAGAATTTACTTACAATTAATATTTTGGAGATTTTGAAACGTTTATCCATATTTATATATTCCATGATTGCTGTTTTTGTTGTTCTTTTAGTGTTAACAGAGGTGGTGATAATGATGCTGGTTTTGAATGAATTCAAATGTCTGGCACACACAAATTACAGAACATCAAGCTGGGTTGTCATATGGTGTCGAAAGACATAAATTTGTCGTTATTGTTGTTCGTGCCACAGGGCAAGATTAGAAGTATAGCTATTTATTCTTTTTTCTTTTGCTGCGATTTGATTAATGAAAACGAAGGTGTTTTCTGGTTCACCAATTGCCTATTTTTTTGATTTGTTTTGTGGTTAGATTCAGCTTTGTTTCGTTATGTGTTAATTATTCTGTAATTCATGATGGCTTAATTAACGCCCAGAATTTGATATGCACTCTCGCAGTGACTGGGACAAAGAAAGCCCCTGCAGCACTTTGGGGGTCGGACTAATTGTAATTCGCTTTTATTTTTTTTCTTTTCTTTTTCAAATCACAACACAATACTAATTTCTTTCTCCTGCTTTTTGTCGCCTGAAAGCGGGTTTATTAATTTTCACTGCACGTCTAGGCACGATGTGAACTGAAGCGAACACCAGCAAATAAAAAAAAAACAAACGAAAACTTTTACAAAACATCAACAATTTTTATTTCACTTCACTTCAATTTTTTTGATTCAATATTTTGTCACTGAAAATTCAAAAACTTTCACAAAAAAAGCAAAAGCTTACTAGCAACAAATTTCAATATTTCTTATTTTTCCCCCTTCCTTTCGAATCGTAGGGTTGATTGATTTGGAAAATCGTTTTTATTAGATATTTCCTTTTTGTGACAAAAGAAAAACACAATTTGTTTTCCGCAATTCAAAAAACGAACGATGGGTTCGATTTCCTTCTTCTTGTTTGGATGTATTTTTTTTTTTTTCAAATCGTATTTCAATCCGAAAATTTACGTTCACACGCTTTGCACTCACGATTGCAACTGTTTTGTTTGGCCGTTTTTTTTGTTGGCTGGCTGGATGGCGGTTTGGTCTGGCCTGGTCTGTGACACACAGACACAGAGTTCCAGTCACAGTTACCATCGTTGCGCGCTATCGTTCGCTCGCTCGTCGTTAGTTCGTTTGTATGTTCGTTCATTATAAACAAACACCCAACCGCCGCCGAGCCAACGAAGACCATCATTCCGTAACTATTGAGCCATCGACTTACTACTCTTTATTTATGTTGTTGTTTGTTTTTTCTTCTCCATCTTTACAATTACACTATGAACAAATCCCACGACAACAATAACAGAGATACAATATTAGCGGAGTTGCCAGATTGTAAATGGTCGAAATATACCATGGTCGAAATTATGAGTTTGAGTAAAAATCATTGGTAATTTTTTATGTGTTTTGAGAGACTATAAAGGTAAGGGTACATAAGCAGCTTGGCATCATGGTTAGGCATATTAATGCCAAATTATAAAGGGAAACTACGGCTAGAACCCATTCTAACCCACAAATACCAATATTTAGACAGATCCGCGAAAAAATGTTGCAAAAAATTATCAAAAAACCGAATATTGGAAGGTACCGTTATGTGGCGGCTATATCAAAACTATCCTAGATACAATGCAAATTGTGCTGCCAAATTTTGAAGCTCTATCTCACTTTTTCAAGGTGGAAGGGTATAAAAATTAAAAAGATGTGAGAGAAAAGAAGTTAAGTAATTGCACCCAGGAAGCTCCTCCATCTTTCCATCCGGTCTCTTTTGAAGGTCCCAACCCTGCCGGCTTCAATTAACAGGTTGAACCCGCTTCCTGGGTCGTCTTCTTCTTTCAGAGACCAATCATATCATTTTTATCTGACAATTTCATCTTACGGACGGACATTGGGTAGCTTATCGTTCTGCCACTATTGCTAGCTGCACAACTTCCATTTGGCAACTTGTAATTCCTGCAAACTTGAGCTTCCTGCAGCTTTTGTTTATTTTGTCGTCGTAGATGGCCATACATTTTCGTCGTCATCTTGCTGACGAATATCTCGCTGATTTCTTCATTTTTATACCCTCCAATATACTATGGAGGGTATATTAAGTTTGTCATTTCGTTTGTAACACCTCGAAATATACAAATTATATATATTCTTGATTAGCGGTGCAGGTCCACGTCTTCGTATAGCCCTCATATAACGGAACCTCCCGATATTCGGCATTTTGATGATCTTGGCGACATTATTCACCGGAATTGTTTCAAATTTGGTATTTGAAGTTCGTAATGGATTCTACAGCCTATGACAGAAAATTGTCTATGCCGGTCCACGTTTTGGTATGGCCCCCATATAATGGTACCTCCCTATATCCGGTATTTTGATGATTTTAGCTACATTTTTTTCAAGTTCCGATTTTTTTCAAGTTTCGCATTTGAATATTATGATAAAAGTTGCCTATGCTGGTCCACGTCGTCGTATTTTTAACGGTTTTTATTTTTTGAAAATTTGCCAAATTCGTTCTAAATGGTGGAGTGCATTAAAGGTTCGGCCTGGCCGAACTCACAGCTTTTTTACTTGTTTTTCTTTATCGATATTTGTTTGCATTTACTCTTTGTCCTTTGCAATAAACTAAATCTCAAGAAAATTACGATTTAGTAAGTGGTTTGCCATGTTTTGGGCTCTTTATTTTAGTCGAAAATATTAGAATGAAAACCTCCAGACATGTGGCAACTTTCGCTGTAAACTCCCAGCTGTTTGTACGCTGAAGACTTACTACTCCCAGCCAGTAAGTCAGTCACTTAATCAACGAGTCATTCATTGTTATATTTACCAACCGCTTCACCTACCTCTTTGGCCAGCTGACTGACTGGCTTGCTAACTGATTGACTGCAAGCTTTGTTTTTGTAAGCTCTGAAGTAAAATGTTAACGGGGAGAGACAATTGAAAATGAGCGAAATTTCAAACAAACAAAAAAAGTCGTTCTCGTCTTGCCTAAGTCTGAATAATCAAAAACGAGCTAACCATCCACTCAATAAGCCAGTCAGCCAGCCAGCCTGTAAACCAACTAGCAGCCGGTCATCAAAGAAAGCAATCCCTCCCTACACATAGCCATCATCAACGACCAACCGTCGTATCTTCTTTGCCATTACGTTTGGATCATCATGCCGCTCATATGTGTGGCTGAGCAAACGCTTGGGGGCAATCGTGGCCGGTTGGTGATAGTCTGATTGTATTTTGTACGACGAGTGTAGATGTGTTCTTTTTTCGCATCCACTATTGATGGGAACTTACTTTCCATGAAGCTAACTGGCCAAATAGATCATTGGTCTAAGTACTGTGCAGACAGACAGATGGAGAGAGAGAGAGAGAGAGCGTAATGGAAACATTGGAGGGGAATGTAAATATAATAAGATGTGGGAAGTATTTCTAATGTACACTTGTGCTCGTATTAAGACACTACCTCCAAACGATATATGCAGTAGAATTTTTTGAATGTTAGGAATTAAATATATATAACTTTATTGTTAAAATAAAAAAATTGAACAAATTAAAGAAAATAACAAAATAACAAGTAAAAAATAA